CCAGAGGTCGGTCCATTGACGAAGCTTGTAGGAAGGTTGGCTGCCCATGGATTAAAGAACGGATTTGAAAATGTCGATATGGTACAAAACAGAATGAGGTCTTGGATAAATCCTGAACAGACGATCTCTCTTTATCACAGATATCTGCCCAACTAACAAATTAAAACTGTTAATTTCATTCATCTTTAGTAACAATAAAACTGATAAGCATCTTGATAACTAATTTAGAAATCATTTTGAAGAGATTCAAAATGGCGTTTGGTAATAGAAAAGTTATTAAAATGAAATGTCTTACTACTTATACACCTGTTCTATTTTTACCAGCAGCTACTGATACTTAGCAAGAGATTATGATCATATTCTCGTGTACTTAATCAGCACTGATCTCGAAATTGATTCGTCCCCCAGTTTACGTTTGCTAACGCTACCAGTTGTGTAATTTTGAAAATCAGCCTCGTTTTCATGCTGATAGATCTCGTGACCCTACTTAAGGTATCAGGTACGTGTGGTTTCCACTGCGTTTCATCTTTTCAAGGTTCAATTGTGTCTGCTTTACATTTACGAAATAGAAAACATATACATGTACCGTGTTTCTATCGAGTTTTAATATAAATCTACTAGCGTTCTATCACAAATGGCGTTCTCTGATTAGCTACGCTACTATTCTGTGTTGTAGATAGTGAGTAGCTTAGCAGCGTGCGCTTGTTAACAAACTGGCCTTCAGGCGAGTGTTTCCACAGTTTTTTCTAGGTCTCCCAAACTTTCACGAGTTTGTTATTTCTAGGTCTCCCAAACTTTCACTTCATTTGTTAATGAAGTGAACAACGAAATTTGATCGCTTAAGTTTGACTGATGTCGGAATTTATTATGATTTGATTCTTTAGATTTTTAGTTCTCTGCGCTGATAGGTCTTTCTAGTTTTATACGATCAATTATTGTACATTTTTTAGTTTTAATTTTTAGAATATACTTGGGCCGTGGATTACCTGTAAACTAGCTGATTAGCTAAGGTTAACTCCACGTTAAATAAAGTATCGTATCGTATCGTATCGCATCGTATCGTATCGTTTACGGTGGAAACAGCGTCCTTGTTTGAACTCCATGCTACAACTCCCATACTGACGTCAGAGGTCCAATAATGTCAGTCTTACCATTTCAGATCCTCTTCCCGTAGACCATAATTCTAGAGGGAGAAAGGTCATGAGACCACCTGTAATATGTGTCTTCAATTAGAAAGTTTCTAAATAACTGCAGTTTTTGAATACTCAACATATATATAAGTAATAACCAGTAATCACAGACTATACTTCGAGGATGGATCGAATTTCTGCAGTTATCGTAAAAAACGCTTTCGAAACCTGTCTCAAAACATATATTT